ATAAGAAACAGTTGCCTCTTGTGGAGTTGGAGAAGTTGCTATCTTTGTAAGGGGGAAGAGGCTGAGGGACTTTCCAAAAATGCCGAATCCAGACGAAAGCAACATGGGTTTCGATGGAAAACATGTTGGTAGCCGAAGAGTTGATGTATGACAAGGAATCGTTGAAGACATAGCATGAAACGTTGGTAACACAATTAACGGACGAGCAAAGAATGTCTACGACTCTGTGATGAATGATATTGATTCTAATGGGGGTGAATTCTTCTTTGTGTATGGTTACGGAGGAACAGCCAAGACGTTCGTGTGGAGAACGTTATCGTCAAAGATAAGGAGTCGTGGTGATATTGTTCTCAATGTTGCGACATGAACAGTGCAGAAGATCTAACATATATATTTAAGTTGTGACTATTTGTGTAAAGCATAATCAGACGATGAAAATCTATCAGAAGTACACACTCCTGAATTCTTAAATAGTTTGAGATTGTCTGGACTTCTTAATCATTCATTGACATTAAAGGTTGGTGCACCTATTATGTTATTTCGGAACATAGACCACTCTCTTGGTCTTTGCAACGGTACGCGCCTCATCGTCACAAGATTGACACATCACATTGTTCAAGCAATAATAGTTAATGAGACACATCAAGAAACCAAAGTTCTTATCCCCTGAATGTCTCTCATCCCTTCTGATATGATATTGTCCTTCAGGTGTACGTGTATTTTTTCCGATCAGCCATCCTGATGGCCTAAAGGTGCATGGACAAAATTCTGTTACTACTACCAATGTCATCTACAAAAAGGTTTTCAATAATATGTAATTCAAATCAGTGATATTATGTTTTCTTTTTATACAAAGATGACAAAATTGCTATATATCTACATAGAAAATATATATCTTCCGTACAAATAATTTCTATAACTGAGTTGCTAGACAACAAGCTACATAGTCCAATTAATACAAATCCTAAACAATGATATATAAAATCTCAAAAGTTTCAGCACGGATGCGTATATCTATATAATAACTAGTTTTTTACGCGCATTGCGCGATTGAGATAATGCCCAATGTTTTTTTAAATAAGTATTTTAAAGTACATCAAGGCAAGATTATATTGGAATTGTTCATGCATAGATAATTGAATGTTAAATTTGCGTATTTAAATTGGTAATTCTAAGTTTACAAATGCAAGATAATATAGTCAATATTGATTATAATTGTCAATAAAATAATAGTATGGGTATGGTTGATACCAAATACGGGACATAAGGGAGAGCAAATAAAAATTAAAGCATAAAATATTAAATATATACTAATATTGTTTGAGGAGATTCCGACAGTAGGATTTGTGGTTAGAGTTCTATTAAGACTTTAATATTAGAATTAGATTAATGTTGTAGTTATAATTCTATATTAGACTTTAATATTAGAATTATACTAATGGCGAATTAACGGTACTTAATGGAAAAGTTAACGGATCGGATAATCATATAATTAAGGATAAATTAGGAAATCTCAAGGAAAAATTAAAATCTGAACAATCCAAACTATTCATTTGATTTAATAATTTGACGGTCATTTTTTCTACCCAATGTTTATAATTAAATAAATATTTGAAAGTATATCAATGCAAGATTATATATGATAGGTTCAACATAAGTAATTTAATGTCTAATTTGTTTATTTAAATATGTAATTCATAGTATATGAATACAATGTAATATAGGAGATTCATTATAATTGTTACTTAACTTTTTTTAAATAGTAACCAAGTATTTTTATTGCAAAGGGTTCTAATATATTTAATGAATGCACATATATACAAGATCAATGAAAGAATCAACGGTACCAGTCATTTAGGTGTTGCTCAGTGTTCATTTAGTTCAATCATTATTGTTGAATAAATTATTATGAATAAAAAAATTCCTAATTTAAGGAATTTAGATGTAGTAAAAATTTAAAATTTTTAATTATAATGTAACCCAAAGATATTCAACAACGCCTCGACTAAGGCTCAATCTCATAACTTCCCACATGGGAGATGTCACTACATGCCATCTAAGCACAAGTTGCTTGGCTATTATCATCATCATCATCATCATCATCATCATCATCATCGTCATCGTTATCGTCATCGTCATCGTCATCGTCATCGTCATCGTCATCGTCATCGTCATCGTCATCGTCATCATCATCATCATCATCATCATCATACCCTTAGGTCATTTTAAATGTTAATTTAAACAACTAATTTTTTCAAATACTCTTTTACCAATCGTTGATATAATTCGCTGGTCAAATCCGTTAATATAATCCGTTAACGCTAACCACTAACTGCTGATTGTCAAACAATGACATTGCAAGGTAGTTTCTCACTTCAATTTGTTGTGTGATTTGAATACTCTCTTTGTCAACAATTCTCTCAAGTAGTTAATATGATTGGCTTTATTAATTTAAATTTTTTTAAATTTTTTCATGGTATTAATAAAATACTTGGTAAATAAATATATAGCATTATTTTGTATTATAACTTTGATATTTAATTAAAAATAGTGCACAAAAAAGATAATAGACAATGTAGTGAATATAATCAATTGATGAATTTGAATGTAAAGAATTTGTACATTGGAGAAAAATAAAGACAATATAACTAATGAAATTATTTCTCTTAATTAATTTATTGATAATGAATAATTTTTTTTAATAAAGACATTGTAGCGACAATGTAGCGAATATAATCAATTAATGAATTTGAACTTTGAATGTAAAGAATTTTTATATTGGAGAAAAATAAAGACAATATAACTAATGAAATTATTTCTCTTATTTAATTTATTGATAATGAATAAATTTTTTTTGAATAAAGGCATGCATTGTAGACATATAATTCTAAATTAAAGAAATGCATATGTATTATTTTTTGTTGTAGCTACTAAATTATTATTTTAATTTAATAAGAGTAAAATAGAGTACTAATTATGCCAACTTTAATTTGATTGGGATGAGTTTCGAACCTAAGACTTTTCTTATCTTATTGAAATCAATGAGTAAGTTAACGGTGAACTAACAGAAATTAACGAAAAAGATAAAATTTAACGAAAAAGTTAACCGATAATCATATTCATTAAGGATAAGTTAGGAAATCTCAAGGAAAAATTAAAATCTGATCAATCTGAGCCATTCATTTGATTAAAAAATTTGACCGCCATTTTTTCTACCCATTATAGACTCAACTCTCTTCGGCTCTTATTAGTATAGTAGATAGTAGATATTATGTATGGTATTATATTCTATAATATAATTGATAATATTATTGTTCCAGTATAATAAAAACCTTATGTAATAAAGTAATAATAAAATAAAATTACAATAATAATAATAATAATAATAATAAATTCTCTCTCTCTCTCTCTCTCTCTCTCTCTCTCTCTCTCTCTATATATATATATATATATATATATATATATATATATATATATATATATATATATATATATAAAATCCTCCTATTTCATTTTCCCGTCCAAACTTTTGTAGTAAAGTTTATTTGGTAAGTAAATATCAAATGAAAATTAATTAAAATCTATTAATTGATAATATTGCATAATTGGTAATATTATGTATGATATTATTTTTCATAATATACTTGATAATATTATTGTTCAAGTATAATAAAAACCATATGTAATAATGTAATAATAAAATAAAATTACAATAATAATAATAATAATAATAATAATAATAATAATAATAATAATAATAATAATAATAATAATAATAATAATAATCCAAACAAAACTATATTCAAAATAAAATTTAAATTTAAAAAAAAAAAATAAGAAGAAGAATAAGACAAAGGGGAGCAATGCTCATCTTCCAAACATAATTGCTTGCCTATCAACGTGGACAAGTATTGAGAAAACAAAAGACTCTTATATAAGCCTTAATAGCTTATTATTTTAGTTATTTTTTTTAAAAAAAAATTAATTTTAACTAATTAATTAATAAATTTAGGCAGAAGTATCAAATAGACCCATTTACTCCCCCGAGGTGTTCAATTCACCCCACCATCTAAAATATATGGTAATCAGGCACATTAACTTCTTAAAATTGTTTAATTAGCTTTTTTTTCCAGGTTTTTCTCCGGTTGTGATGACTTGGCAACCAGTTAAGATGATGTGGCATGGTAAATTAATTTAATATGTTTTTATTTGATAAAAGAAATTAAAACAAAATTAAAACAATTTTTTTTTTAAGGAGAAAGGAGAAGAAGTTCTTCTCTTCGCAGACATGGGTATCTCTCGTGATTCAATACACAAGAGGCGTGCTACTGGTGGCAAGAAGAAAGCTTGGAGGAAGAAGCGAAAGTATGAGCTCGATCGACAGTCTACAAATACTAATATTTTTCGAAACACGAACCAAAACCCACATAATTTCAAATCCTTAACCTAATTGACGGAGCTTCGCAACAACAATCTTTAAACGATAGTCGGTCGGATTTGACGATGGCATTTCAGCCACAATCTTTAAACAAGCTTCGCAACCAACAATCTTGACGACGGTATTTCAGCCATCGACGTCGGCGGAGGAGGTGAAGACTCCATAGACGACACCTCTCCTCACATCCAATTCGAACCCCGATCTCACGCCCTTGTACTCCACTGCTCCTCTGATCTCCCATGGATTATTCCTCAATAATTCCCAAAAGATCTATTGGAGTTTTCCGATAAAGATTTCAGCGATAGTCGGTTGTCTTTAGACTCCAAGGAAGTTGAGGGGCGGAAGAGTAGTTTCTCTTTGGTGTCTCCGCATCATCGGAATTACAACTCCCAAACTTTTTCCGGCACCGAGGATTTCGACCCTCTCCCTACAGGCCAATTCCTGATCACGGTAATCGTTTTAGAAAAATTTTAACCGAAATTACATAACTTTATTTTCGTAAAAAGAAAAAGTAAATATATGGGAGAAAATTTCATTTTTACAGGTTGACAATATGGAGAACATCGAGTGGTTATCCCTAATTGTGGACGATTCTTCATCGGAATTGTTGTTGTTTTGTCCGAACCCCAGTTTTCAGCCGGCAACTAGAACGTTTTTGGAGAATCGAAGAACTTACGCCGTCGTGGACAGCTGACAGGGTTTGCAGAACTTATACCAGGAAGCGATGAAGAACCGTACGAAGACAACAGAGAGGAAGACTCTGAAGTCAGTGATGGAGCCACATATGACCACACATTTCCACCTGACTACATACTTTTATTATACTAAAATTACATGTCAGTAATGTGGATTGGTAACCCGAAGGTAACCTGCGAAAAAAGCTCATTGAACAATTTTAGGAGGTAAGTGTGCCTAATTACCATATGTTTTAGACGGTGGGGTGAATTGAACACTTCGAGATATTAGATGAGCCTATTTGACACTTCTGCCATAAATTTATTAGGGTTTTGGGAAAATATTAATCTTAATCTTTCCCCAAAATGTATACGTGTTGTTTTGTTTTTAGCAGTTTGGAGCAAATTGTTGAGTTATTAAATAATATTTTTTTGTGTTTTGATTAGAAATAAAATGTCAAAATGGCGGATTTGTTAAAATTTTTGTGAATTGGTCAATAATCGAACAAGCCTATTATCTAATACTACGTAATTATTATGGGGCAATTAACAAATTAATTGTATAGATATTAAGGTTTGTTTTAGAAAGTAGGAAAATGATTTCTGTAAAATGAGGTATTATTCAAAATATTATATATAGTATTATATTCTATAATATAATTAATACTCCGTAATATTATTGTTCAAGTATAATAAAAACTCTATGTAATAATATAATAATAAAATAAAATTACAGTAATATATATATATATATATATATATATATATATATATATATATATATATATATATATATATAATTGAACCATACCTCAATTATAATTGGACTCCACATATATAAAAATGAGAACTTAAATATAAAATCAACATTGTTCTTATATAAATAAACTTTTTTAAATGAATAAGTTTTACATAATATATTTATACTTAAAATTTAATAAGACTAATAATTCTTAATATCATAACATAACAATAATACTTTCGATCTCGATCGTCCATTTTGAACCATTGATCAACTTTCGATCTCGATCGTCCATTTTGAATTGTAGTTGATCAATTAATTGTGCCAACTTGGTCTGCAAAGTCATTTCGCCGTCTGTCAGAAGATTTGAATAATCTTGCCGTTGCTCTTCATTAATCTGACAAAACTTTTCATGGAGTGTGTAACCTCCAAATTTGAATTAATCTCAGGCGTGACTTTTGAATTATTGATCTGATATGCCAAGTTGATCAAATAATTTATCTGCTGATTCTTGCTTGAGTATAAAAAAGATTTCCTTCGTGAATCAGCTTCTTCTTCCTTCGCAAAACTGGCGGATTCCAAAAAGACATCATGTCTAACAATTGTAGCATGATGATGTCATAGCTCGTTTGATGATGTCATATCCTGATTTTATATCATGTCTAACTTATTATCATGTCTTCAATAAAAATTACTTCAAGTGAGAATCAAACCATGTATCATTTAGTTGCTTTACAAGGTTTCTTCCAACTCAACTAGTTAACCTTTTGATACATATCATGACTTAAATTCCTTTTGTCTCTTCTCTCCATATAGGTTCCATAACCCGTCTAAAAGATATCACGTTGTGACGTCATCACCCGTCTAAAAGGAATATCATGTTAGCAAAACTTTGGCTTGATAGCACTTCATGTCTTGGCTTGATATCACTTCCCGATATCACTTCCCGTTAATACTTCGTGATATTATTTCGGAAAAAGTATCAAATTGGCCCCCTAAGTCGAGCGGATAGTGCAATTGGGTCCCCTAAGTGAAAAAAGCTCCATTCAGGTCCCCTAAACCTGTAAAATTGTTCAATTAAGTCCAAATTGACTTGTTTATCAGGTTAAATGCATACGGTGTTGACACATGTCCTTATTTTATTTTTTTTATTAAAAATATTATTTATTATAAATTAATTAAAATAATAATTATTATTATTAAAAATATTTTTTTTTTCAAAAAAAAGAAAAAAAAGCCGTGGCCGTCCGGCCACGGCTGTCTTTGAAGAAGGAAGACAGCCACCGACTATCTGGCCTTTTTTTTTGTTAATTTTTAATTTTTTAATAATTATTATTATTTTAATTAATTTATAATATATAATATTTTTAATAAAAAATAAAATAAGGACACGTGTCAACACCGTATGCATTTAACCTGATAAACAAGTCAACTTGGACTTAATTAAACAATTTTACACGTTTAGGGGACCTGCATGGAGCTTTTTGACTTAGGGGGCCAATTTGACACTTTTTCCTATTATTTCCCAATATCACTTCCTGTCTACCACTTCGTGATAGCTTGTCTAACAAAAAATACTCTCAACAGGAATTGAACCATAGATCATCAAGTATTAAGTATCTTCAAGTATGCTTTAACAAGTCTTCTTCCATCTCATCCGTCTTAACCTTTGATGACTTTAACGCTTCATAAATTTGTTAAGCTATGATCCTGCTTACATTTATTCTTCCATCAACGAAGTGTTCACGTAGGCTTCATGGCAAGGGTGCACCATACTTTGTGAACCAGAACTGACTCAAATAGAATAAAATTGGGGTCTACAAAATACATTTGGCTCATCAAAACTTATACAATATATTCCTAACAATTTCCCCCTTTTTGATGATGCCGAAACTTATACCCAAGTCATTTGGCTATGTCAAATTTTGAAAAATAATCTGTTTGTCCAATTTTATTGCGACTAGCCATTTGACGGGTTTAACACATTTAAGACTTAGAGATTTTAATTTTGGACGGTCCTAAACGTATATTGAGACTAAGACGCGAGGTTTGCGTATTGATTTTTATCTTTTAATTTTTCTTCCCCCTTTTAATTTTATTTTCTCAATTATACGCATTACATGTATTTGCTAAGTCCAATTTTAAAATCTTGAGACATAAAGCATATAAACAAACAAACTAGACAAATAACTTAAGTAAGCCGTGAGCTAGCAACTTATATTGCGTACCAAAAGAGATAATTCGAACAAGCTAGCTAGGATTATATACACCAAAAGAGAATAAGAGACTTCATTTTACCTCTTGCCAATCAAGGCATTCACGTGTGCCCTTAGCTTCTTGAAATCATTTTCACCTTCCTTGAGTTGGTATGGTGCGGTGACTTGCCAGTCGTTATATCATAGCACCGCGGTAAAAAACGGCGCCGTTTCTTTAAGTAAAGAAACGGCCCGCCGTTATAGTTAACGGAGTCCGCTTGTTTGGTGTATTAAACATCAACTGACACTACAGTATATCTAAACCGAAACTGCAGTTATATCAAAATGATACTGTAGTTATAGTGAAATGAAACTGCAGTGTATATAAAATGAAACTGAATAACATTTCACATATTGGAGTGTATATTGTACAATGAAGCTGTAATTATATCAAAATGATCATGTAGTTGTGTTTTAATGAAACTATAGCGTATATAAAATAAAATTAAATAACATTTTCACATATTTGAATCTATAAATATCGAATGAAACTATAGTTATATCGAAATGAAACTGTAGTTGTGTTGAACTGACACTGCAGTGTATACAAAATGACACTGAAGAACAGGGTTACTTTTTGCAAAAGGGTGCGAAACAGCGGAAAACAAACACTGTTTATTTTCATTTAAAAAAAAGATGCGCGGTGCATGATTGATCATGCACCGTGGTGCATGATATAATTTGCCGTGACTTGCTCGGTTACATAATTCCCGTACGCCTCTTGAATATTGTCACCCCGCAACACTCCGGCTTGGTACCAAGCAACGCATTCTTCAAATGATCTTTCATCTACCATCTCGTTGCTTGAGTGCCCGAAAAATGTCTCCAACTCATGTACTAACTTCATCTTGGTCTCATCATAAATCGATCTTGAAGGTGATGATCTTGGGCATTCTTGTGGATTTGGTAAGTCCAAACTTTGAGCAGTCACGAGGTACTCCATGATCTTTCCTCCTCGGCCTCGACCTTGACTCTTTGGCATAGGAGAGACTCCTCGTGGTACTTCTGGAGGTCGAATAAGCTCAACAAGTGGACGTTGTGATGACGGTCCAATTAAATGATTTACCAAATGACTTGGAGCTCCTCTAGCCCTTTCCCCCTTTTCGGCAGCAGCAACATAACTTTGAAAGCTTGCCGAAGCATCGAGTTGGCTTTTCTGAACTCCAACTACTAGATCGTTATTCACACCGGTTTGATGAAGTAATGCCTTCAACTGATTTTCCACCAACCGTAGTCTTGATTCGCAATCGGTGCATTTTTTTCCCAATTCAAGGAACATCTTCAAGACTTCACGGTTGTGTTCTTCTTGCTTGGTAGTCATCATAGCCATATCACCTTTCATTGATCCTTGGCCAAGTAGCAATGATTCGGCCCTTTCATACACGCCTTTGTGAAAATCATCCAATTTGGTATCAACATTACCAATTCGGTGGTGAACCTTTTCAAACTCTTGAGAAACATCTCCCTTCATTTCTTGTAGTTCCCTGCGTACATCTCCAACAATATTTTGCCTTAAAGCTTCAACATCAATAGGATGGGAATGTACCTCGGTGTGTGCCGTAGGTTGTGGTCTTGGCAATGTGTAATCTACCAGCTCCAGTGCATCCACGTGAGGTGTGTTCTCAAGTTGTAATGGCTCGGAAATGGTAGTATCAACAGGTTCGGTAGAACATAAAAGTAACGGAGTAGACGATTCAACTTGCATCACTCCTTCTTGTGCATTCTCACGGGTTTCACACTCATTCATATCACCAATATTTCCTTCATTCACTGATTTTGTCACATTCGTAGCCGTGTGTGGAGAGAGAGCATCAAAGCTAAGATTATCTCCTCCATAAGTCGAAGGAAATACATCCAAATCATTTAGGCTTCCACCATCGGTTTCCTTCAAAATTGATGCTTCTCCCGGTGGTCCGTGTGCTTCCTCTCTCGAAATAATCATAGCACGGGCAATATCATCACGAGCAAAGCCATCAACTGTCTCAACGGCAACTTCAGTAACAACTTGTGAAACTTTCTTTCCTTGGCTATTGGCAACTTTCCTCATAAAATATTCATTGATCATCGATAGCCTCGTAGCAATAACAAGGTTTCATGTACCTAACCATATATGCAAGAGCAAACTCCTCCAACTCAAGTGTATTCGGCCCTATGGTTGTAGCAACCGAAGGATGATCACTCAATCTCCAAGATCTCCAAAACTTGACACGATTAAGTTCCTCCAACAAAACACTGTCCGCCCCACACGTAGGAATGTCATCCACACTCCCAATCTTACTTAGAACTCCCACTTCGTCTTCATTCGGGTTCAAGGAGTTGACGATGGGTGCGGGTAAGGTAACAAAGGGATGGCTACAAGCATCATCACTA